CGAGTTAATTGGTAATCACGGTCAAAACAAGTTTACTAATCTCTGGTTGAATCAAGACGGACACGTCGTGCCTGGCACGGCTCCATTTATAGACCCGGCGGAAACATCCAGAAAAATCCACCCGCGTCATAAAGCGTAAAATTAGTGGAGGAATCCACTAATTTCAAGAAGAATCCAGAGGGTCCCGAACTCGCCAACATGGGTGCCAATGACACCAATATGGTCGCCAATGTCGCCAAATTGACAGCCAACTCGGTCGTCAAATAGGATGCCAACTTTGCTCTATCACCAAGATTTCGTGTTTCTCATCTAATCGTCACTATAGCTTAAGGGACGACATTGCTTGTGAATATAGTACAATTTTAACATAAAATAAATATAACATAGAGTAATATAAATGCATTATACATCCAAATAAAATTAATTACAGTATTTACACAACATTCGTTGCAATATATTTTAAGTAAGTAACAGTATATTAATATTTTTGTACATTATATTTTATTTTCGACTTTTCTATATGATCGTGCCTTCACACAGGGTTATCATGTCCTCCAAGGGGACGCTACCCACTGTTTGAGAATCGCTGCCTTTATTTCAGTTTATTTTTGGCGAAGTATAGTAATATATATAAATGTGATCAAAATCTCTAAGCATTACATTTGTTTAGAAAAATTGCTTACAAAATGAATCTGCGTGCAAAAGATGCACCATTTATGACGGTGTCATCAAGTATAGACGTATACTTAAATATTTCATAAACTGATTGGAAAATTACTGCTGATATCTTTTTATAAGTTGTATTCTTAAAACATACTAATGAAAATAAAATTTAATAATTACTACCTTTATAGTCAAATACAAGGATTAATTTCAAACTTTCTTGTTTATTTGAACGTCTTTTAATAAATTTTTTTTGAAATTATATATATTTAAATCCAGAATATATAGTTCCTCATACTCCATTGGTAATCGAAAGAAATTTATAACGCGAATTTTTAATTGATTAGAAGACGTTAATTTATTTCCTTTAATATTGAAAAGGTTTTTTTTTTACGAATGAAGTATACAAACTAATTAGATTTCAAAAGGTAAAACTAGCTATATTTCCATATCAGTTTTACAATGTCTTCAGAAAAAGGATACGTAGACATTTCAAAAAGTGTTTTTTTTATATTAAATGCAATTAAATTCAAGAATTGGAAAAAAAAATTACTCTTAAATCAGAAATCATCTCTCTAAAGAAAATGCTTTTCTAATATCCTTTCGGCAGCTGAAAATGAGCCAACAAAGTGTTATAATAGAAGTTATACTTTAATAAACTTAATAAATTTCTACGAATGTGGCAGTAGTATATTCAGAAAGAATTCAATTATGCTTAAACTTTTCATATGTAAATACAGAATCAGAATTTCGAAAAACTGCTGTTCATAATATCATTCTGCAAAACACTTTTTGTTCCGTTTTTTTCAACTGTTAAAGTATAACATAACATGGGGGGGGTATAATTCAAAAATTTGGAGTAATCTTCAAAATGGAGTATAATTGAGTTTTTTTTTTTCAACATATTTTTTACACTATATAGTCTTAAAATACAAATGATTCACATTTAAAAATTATTTTTTTTTATTTCTAATTTTAAATAGAAAAAGCTTTGAATCTTTAAACTGGGATTAAAAGAATTATAAAAAATAACAATGAGTACGAAATCATAGGAACTATGTTTATTTTTCTTCATGATCATTGGGAACAAAATAGATGCTAAAATATTTTAATTACAAATTAAATTTAATTATAATACTTATTCATATTTCAAATATTTCGGTTTTTAAAATAATACAATGAACTATATGAAAAACAGTACAATCCTTACTTTTGAACATCATAACAGCTTTTAATACTAATAAGAAATGTTTAACTACGAGTTACTAAATTGCAGAACACCTGTAAAATTAGCTAAATAATAATTATAAATTAATGTTATTTACATATCAGTAAAAAATTAAACGACAGTATGTTCGCATCTAAAACTAAAGTTTTACATAATTTTCTCAAAATTTATTTTATTTTCCAATTCTTTTCACATATGGCATTTAAAATGATTTCGATTCAGCAACGAATCCTCTGAGCTGTTTCGGGGGCCAGAGGTTCGGACATTCGCAAGCTTCCTGTAGCAGGCAAGTGACTTGCTCTAGATGTGCTTCTGTTGGGCATTCCTCTACAGACTACACTCGAGAGCCAAAGTGTATTAACTGCGCACAACATCATCTGTCTGATTCCAAATTATGGCCAAAAGGGAAAACAGAGAAACATATCCAGGAAATTAAAACAAACAAGAATATCTCTTATTTAGAAGCTCGTAAATCTAAAGTTCCACAGTTATCTCTCTTGACATATGCTCAGGCCGTTAAACCTACTATATCCACTATAACTCAAACACAACAAATGTAATTTGTCCACCTTTACAATATCTAAAACCCTTATATTCTGCTAATCATATGCCTAGTATGTCTTTAATTCCTGCAGTCTACACATCATCTTGATTAACTCAAGCACATCTACTTCCTTCCACATCTTCAATAATACCACCGTGGGTAGCCTAGTGGTTAGAGCATCGGACTCCAGACCGGAAGGCCTGGGTTCGATGCTCGATGCCACCCAATACCCTCCGAGTACACACAGAGTACGTGCTCGTTAAATCAGTGGGTCCGAAGTCTTTGGGCTGAGTCACGAGCGCAGGGAATGGAGAATATTTCCCTCCCCTTCAGTTCCATGCAGAAAATGTGGAGGTGGAGATAGGTGGTGTCGCCATCTATGGTCCCTTCGGGGATTTTCACCGAGCTAAATCGTACTGTTACCTGTATGTTGCACAAGGCCAACGACAGGCGTACTTCTAGCCCCTTCCCACGATGAATTTCGTGGGCCTCGATCTGACTACGTCAGACAGGTGGAATTAGAGAAACAACAACATACAAAGTAAATCTCAGTTACATATATCCATACCTACTACTACTATTCCTGACAATAGCTTAAATATTTCTGCTTCACACACACACACATCTTTATCAACTGAAACACGCCTATTTAATGCAACTTCTAATAAATTTGCTGCTTTATCAACTGAAGTTCAGCCACCGGTCCCCTTAACAGAGTTTTTCGCTACTGCATTCAATAGTGAACCTTTTAATACATCTAAAAGCCCAAAGAGTGCAAAGCAAAATTTAAAGAATAGAAGAAAGCGCACAAAAGTACAGAAACCAGAAATTGAAATAAAAATGGCATCTCACACGGCCAAGAAAACCTTGTTTCATTATGACTCAGAAGAGGAGTCATATGATAATATATGATGCAGATGAAAAATTAATGGATGCTCACATACAGCCTGGTTTTTCACATTTCGTGATCCCTACCAGTAATTGGAGAAACTAAAATTTGCACAGGAGATTTCAGAATTCATGTTTTATATAATAACATAACGAATAATGTTTTAAGCGATTTTCGATGTTTTTAATTTCACGCTTTACCATTTTAAAATAGTGTAACAATTGTACATGAATTTTTAATTCAATTTTAATGAGTTTTAATTTTTAAACATTTATTATTCGTGTCATTATAATATAAATTTTCAAACGTGTTTTTAAAATTGTTAAGGAAGTTTAAGCAAATGTTTGGCTCAGTATTGCCGAAATCGGCTCTTGCGTCAATAAAACTCAAAATCACTCTCACTCACGCATTAAAATTTGTTTTAGAAAGAATCCTAGAATACTGGTTATGTATTAAAACTAACGCTATATAATAAAAACATTCTTAATTTTTAAAGTAAAAATAAGTATTTTTTGCATAAAAATATGTTTATTTTTATATGAAAAATTATAAACCTATGCCTATTTCAATAATAAAAGGTTAAAAAAATTACTCATATAATTCATATAATTTAGTCTCCAATGTCCTCTTCAATTTTCCAGCCTTCGGAAATATTTCTTTTTTGTAGCAAATGCAACCTATAATCTATTTATCGTTGACTTCTTTCTTGTAAATTATCAAGCTTAATAATAAATATTTAAGAACTTTTAAAATTTTTCGCCTTTTTCCATAGCAAAATTCTTTTAGAGGGAAATTATCTGTATTTATAGTCTAAAATTATGTAATGTTACCATTTAATTTTTTTTTTGAATCACAAGTGGGTTATAATGTTTGATTATATTGATTACAAAAATAACTTTCTTTTCTTAAAAATGATTGAATATTTTAGTTATATATTGTTCGCACAGACTTATATCCTTGGGATTGTGATAAGGGTATTTGGAACCTAATATTACATGTATTTTTTAAAAAAGTGATGCACTCGTTGAGTTAAATATTTTTTACGATGAAATATTTAAACACTGTAGTTTTGATGAAAAAGATTTTTTTCGAAGTTTAATAATAATTCTTTCATATATTAAATGATATTTTCTGATCAAATGAATCCTAGAATAATTCGTTTAGGATTTTATAAACATTGAATTAATCAAAGTCTGCTTAAATCTTTTATGTTTTTCTGACTAGATAATATAATTACCAATTAAGTTCATTTTTCAGTGCTAAATTATGCAACATTTTCTTCTTATAAATCTTAATCATATGATCTAGTTCATTAGACAATATATATTTTAATGCCTTAGCACCTGAAACAAGTTACATTATAAAATAAGTAATGTATAAAAAAAAGTTTAAGTCAAGTCCTACTTAAGTCAAAAAAGAAATTTTTTATTTTAGTTACTTTTTATTAAATAGCTACAACTAATATGAATATGTATATGTATATACATATGACAGCATCACAATATTAAGTGACAAAAAAAAAAGAAAGCGAATTTCCTTGTTATTTTCCATTTTCCTTTCTGTATATAGAGTTGGACAATTTTTGTTTGTTTGTTACTATTTATTCTTTAATTAAATTTAATCATTAAATTAAAATAGTATTGTAAAAAAATAAATCACATTCTCAAAAATTAGGCCATTCCAGGTGGAATTCGAATCCACGACTTTCGCATTAGAAGTTCAACGAGCTATCCATTGCACTACAGGAGCACAACAAATGATTTTCCTTTCTATATATGCTGTTGGAATATTATTTGTGTTTGTTACTATGTATTCATTTTTATTAACATTTGAGATATTAATAATGAATTAATATTTGAAAAACTGTATTAAAATCAAGTGTCATCCACTACAAATTTTAAAAAATGTATTTGAATTTGAATGGGTGAATACAAAGTATTTTATTAACGTTTGAAAATAATTTAAACTATATATATATATATATATATATATATATATATATATATATATATATATATATATGTTCATATATGTTCTAGTAGTCACGACAGACGTTATACGGTACACCCGTTTTATAAATTCGAAAATTATAAACTTTTTAGAATAAGTTGCAACAATCTGGACCGTTTTGATGAAATTTTTAACAAATAAAGTTATTACAATATCTGAAATCATCACTTGTACATTTACCACAATTCGACCTATGGATTGCGTGTGAGTATCTATTTACTATGTACGAAGTTGAATATAGAAGCTATTCTGAATAGAAACTTAAACTTGTTTTGATTGAAAGGTAAAAAAGATAAAACTCGAGCTATTTTCATAACAGGTATATATTTTATACACAAAAAAATAAATTTATCGTAATGCCATTGAATGTACAATGTTTTTGGTTATTCCTTGACGGGTATAAACAAACAAATGCTATGGTTTTCCAAACCTCGGACATGCAACATATAATTGGCCATGCAAAAAAAGCAAGGGTTTCTAAATCTAAGCCACAAATTGTCTTTGTTTGAACTTGTGACTTGCTAATGGTCATAGCAAATGCCAAGCGAATTGGAAATTACAAACATTTGAAAGGGTTGGGGAGTCTGAAAGAATCATTGGAATCTGTGGTAGAAGTACAACTGTATCTTGAAGATTGCCGCTCAAAATAGTGGCCTCGAGAATATTGGCCATTATTTTTTTTATGAAAATCGCGCGCCCTTACAAAATTTTGGCGCATTTTTAACTAATTGAGATGTCGGACCGAATTGTGAATCTAAATAATTCTCGAATCCACTTGAACCTAAACAAAAAGTATCATCCGAATTGGTCCAGACGTATAAGAGGAGTTCAGTCACATACACACGAACAGAAGAATTATATATATAAAGATATATGCCGTATCGTGGAGAAATGAATAATCTTTCCGATTCTGTAATTGTTTTTTATCTGATTTTGATAGAAAAATTAAATTGTTTTTTTAAGAACCGCGAAAATATCGGAAAATTCTCACCCTTTTTTTCCCTTGCCAATCATTAGCAGAATAACCCCCGTGGGTAAAACAATTATGCGTTCTAAGGTTTTTAGTTAATATCATTTTAACTAATTGTGATATTGGACCAAATTGTGAATGTAAACCATTCTCGAGTCCACTTGAACCCCCACAAAAAATGTCCTCAAAATCGGTCAAGCCGCTTAGGAACAGTTCAGTCACATACACCACAGAAGAATTATATATATAAAGATTATTTGAAAAGATATTAATTAAAAACCCTAAAAAGCAAGATTCATCTGCATTTTTGTAACAATGAAGACCCGGTTTGGCCAGTTTGGCTGAAAATCGATTTTCGACGTCAACTTACGTCATTTTTATAAAAATAACGTTGTTACAACAATGCAGGTGAATATTGAGCTGAATGTTTTTAATGGTTAATTAATATATTTTTAACTAATTGTGATATCGGACCGAATTATAAATCTAAACCATTCTCGAGTCTACTTGAATCCACACATTAGGAGGAGTTTATTCACATACACACACGCACAGAAGATTTATTATACATAAAGATGTATATACAAATAATTATATTTTTACAAATCTTGTGTAAATAGTGTAAATAATTTGTATTTGAATGTTTAATGCATTTTTATTACTCTATGTTATATTTATTTCATGTTAAAATTGTACTATGCACAAGCAATGCCGCTCCTTACGTTATAATGGCGATTCAATGAGAACTTGGAGAAATCTTGGCGGTAGAGCCAAGTTAGCATCATTTTTGGTGACCAAGTTGGCGGATAATTTGGCGACCGTTTTGGCGTCATTGGTGACCATGTTGGCGAGTTCGGAACCCTCTGGTATCTTCTAGAAAGTAGTAGATCCCTCCATTAGCGTCACGTTCGGTTGACACGAGCGGTTATATTTCTGGAAGCTTCCATCGGGTTCCGAATGCCAAATTATTTAATCAATTTTAACATGAAATAAATATAACATAGAGTAATATAAATGCATTACACATTCAAATAGAAAAATTTTTACACTATTTACAAAAAATTTGTAACAATATATAGTGAGAGAGTGAAATAATAGTAGGAATTGAACAAATGAAAACACTTTTAATGATTTAGAGTCTGTCTACTTAAAAGTCCCTTAGAAAAAAATAATACATGCTGAAGTGTCACTTTCTATATAAGATGACTAAAACATTATTGAAATAGCTAAATTCAATTAGATTAGAAAGAATTTTTTTTAGATTGGAAAAATTATACATATTACCCTAATTGAACTATAGAAAGGATTAATATACAGCGTTTCCCATACTGTGGGCTGCACCCCCGTGGAAAAGGGGGAGCGTGACAACTCTACGAGGGGGGCGCGAGCAAATTGAAAAGTTTAAAATAAATGATTCTTTAAAAGAATTATTAATTTATTGAAAGAAAATAAACAAAATAGATTCACACAGACATAATGAAAAATAAAATACACATTTACACTGATATATTACACTTATAAATGTATCAGTGCTACGCAATGTATTTTATAATTAATTTAACGATATTGAGCTAAGAACAAGTTTATTAATTACCAGTGACCCCATGGGCTTGTGATTTATATAATTAAAAAAACAGAAAATAACACTTATCTTGATAGCTTACATGGTTTATAAATTATTCCTTAAATGCCGATTAAAAGTTATGCGATTCGCTTCCCATTGCCAAACGTTTTCCAAGTAGGCGTACGTATGTGATGTATTTGGTGGGAAGGAGGGGGGAGGAATAAAGAAGCAAATAATCTGAAAGAAGTAAATCCTCCGCAAATACTTTCAAAGCCCTTTTATTGCACTCCAAAGCCTTCGGAATAATTTTATGGATAACAGTGCACAGAAAAGATCGTACTTCGGAAAGACGTATATATACGTCCGGGGAAATAAAGATTTTGGCTTAGCGAGACGTTTATATACGCCTGGAGCGCTTAAGATGCTAAGGTCGTATCGTAGTTTAAGCATCTAGGTATAATATTATTGAATTCAATACACTGTTACTGTATGAGTGGGGCGTGATGAAAATGATGATTGTGAATATTGGGTCACGAATATTGCAACTTTGGGAAGCACTGACTTACGTGCCTCTTTTACTTTAAGAAAATGCTCGTGATTGTTTTTCAAGCAAGTTCGTGTACTTTGTTTGTCACAATTTAATAAATTGTCCCGTTTTTAACCTTCACAGTGCAACTTTCTATCGTTCATGTCTGTGTCTCAACCATACCTAACACGGTGGGAGGAAATCTCCAACCGAAATCTCATTTGTTTAATTTATACGGTATCTTTTGGTAGCTTATTTTAGATCTGTACTTAAGAGACTTACTTCATATTATATATATATATATATATATATATATATATATTTTTGTGTTTTATTAATATAATAGTATTTTAAACTTATTTTTATATTTTTATTCCCTGTTTGGTGCAGTTTAGCGAGAACAGGCTCTTGCACCGTGAAACCCCCAAATGAGCACTTATTCAACAAAGTACAATGTCATGACTCATAAATGATTACTTGCGATCACCCAAAAATTTAATCAAAGGAATGAGCTCTTCCTCGTCTGAGGGAAAAATAATATTATATATCAAAATTCATCCCTAATCATCTTTTCTCTTGATTGGACTTTAAAAACCTGATGGAGGGATCCCTCCTTGTTTTGAACTTTTTGAACATATTTGGACTTAAAGATCCAGTCTAGAATTAGGAACAATAGCAGCTACAAAAATATTAAGTTTACTTAACAATAAATAATAACTCACATCCTCTGATATTGCAATTTTTAGTTTATTTTTTCTTTCGAATAATACTAGCCTTCGTATGAAGCTGATTCATACAATTTCATTAACTAAATGGATTGTTAATCCACAAAATTGCTCGTTATTATAACAATATAAATGAACTAACAATGTAGTTGAATTGAATAAAAATAAATTTACACGAATATTAAATATTAAATATGCATGTTGATTAAAGCTTTTGCATTAGTTTTGGAAATTCAATAGATTCAAACATTAAAATATTCTCCCACTGATTTTACTTATTATTCAAGGGACCTGGATTATGATAGTTAATTTTTTAAAAAATTTTGTAGCTTTAAAATCTAACAGTTTAATCTGTTCATAATTCTCCTAAAACAATCCCCTCCCCCAAATTTGATTTGAAGTTTGGTTCTTTTAAAAATGTAATTAATACTTATGCTTAACAGTTTTGTTTTTACCACATCTAAAAACAAAAACGACATTTAATAATAATTTTTTGAAAAATGCAATTCTAACAAGTAAAACCTTTAAAAAGTTGGTTGTTATTTCTTTTTTAAAATATTAACTTAAGGTACTTAGTTTTAAAAATGCATTAAAAATACACCTTTGAAATCATAAGCTTTTTCTTTAAAGGCAAAATGTACCTTTTAAAAATCTTTTGAAAAGAATGATAGAGAATAGATTATCAAATAAAATATTACGTTAATGGAATAAATTTAAGTTCATAAAATAAAAACATTTATAATAAAAAATAATTAATTCGAACCTTACAATGTTTCAGTGTACATACAAACGGAGAAATACGTTTAGAAAATAGGCAGTTCATAATCTCTTTAATAACATACTTTTTGCCTGACGGTAATAATTGTAAAAAAATAAATGTGTTCTTTTATTTTTTTCTTTAAAACCTAAAGAATTCTTTTCAAATCACTTTTTGTCCTCGATTCCATTTCAATT